ATACACAATTGAGAGTTAGGTAGTGGTCTGGGCGCCTGCCAAGCCATAAATGCTCTGGTCGGGCGCCTCAGACTCTCTGACACTGTTCATAGTCCTTTTGGCAGAGGGTGTCCCCCTGCCCCTTGTCCTTGCTGACGTCAGGTGCCTGGGCTTGTCCCCTGTTCTCCAGCCTTGTCTTTTTCCTTGTCTTCTTCCCTTCTCCATGTCATTAGCCATGGTATCAATTCCTTAGTCACTATGATACCCTATCAATAAAGATTAATGAGATTTTTCCAGAAATAGCACTGTTTAAAAAAAAATTCCAAAAATAGCACCCAACTCCGAAAAATTCCAAAAATAGCACCATTTTTGTAAAACCGTAACCCGGAGGTGCGTTTTTCGATGAAAACGCCACCCGAGGGCGCATTTTTCGATGAAAACCGCACTGGTAGGGAGCGGTTTTGCAAACCGCACCCCCAGGGTGCGATCTGCCAATTTTTTTTTTTTTTTTTTTGCAAACCGCACCCCCAGGGTGCGATCTGCTTTTTTTTTTTTTTTTTTTGAAAAATCCTAACTTAGGTAGAAACTTCAAACGAACGTATCTTTATGTTCGGGTATCCGATCGTCGCGATTTTTTTTTTATTCCGCATAATTTTTCGAGATCTTGCAAGCCGCAAACCGCCAAAGGTCCCGCCTTCGTCCCGAAAAAACGTCGTTTGCTACCCCGAACGAGCATTTTTTCGATTTCGTCAAACTTTGAACGACCATAACTTTGTGCTCCACAATCCGAAAATCATGAACTTTTTTTTGATTTTGCATAACTTTTTGAGGACTACAATTTTTTCTAGGAGAGAATTTTCAAAAAATGAATTATTTTGGATATACGGGGTTTTGGGAATAAGTTTACCTTTCTTTTTAGGAATCCAAGTACATTCCGAAATTATGTCTATGATAAAAATTTTAGTCCTCAAAAAGTTATGCAAAATAAAAAAAAAATCATGATTTTCGGATTGTGGAGCACAAAGTTATGGTCGTTCAAAGTTTGACGAAATCGAAAAAATGCTCGTTCGGGGTAGCAAACGACATTTTTTGGTTCGAAGGCGAGACCAAACCACCTTTGGCAGTCTTCGGCTTGCAAGATCTCAAAAAGTTATGCGGAATAAAAAAAAAAATCGCGGCGATCGGATACCCGAACATAAAGATACGCTTGTTTGAAGTTTCCACCTAAGTTAGGATTTTTCAAAAAAAAAAAAAAAAAAGCAGATCGCACCCTGGGGTGCGGTTTGCAAAAAAAAAAAAAAAAAAGGCAGAACGCACCCTGGAGGTGCGGTTTGCAAAACCGCTCCCTACCGGTGCGGTTTTCATCGAAAAACGCGCCCTCGGGTGGCGTTTTCATCGAAAAACGCACCTCCGGGTGGCGGTTTAAAAAAAATGGTGCTATTTTTGGAATTTTTCGGAGTTGGGTGCTATTTTTGGAATTTTTTTTTAAACAGTGCTATTTCTGGAAAAATCTCAAGATTAATCAGCGAATCCAATTTTTATATATTGCTTGTGTCAAGCACCTTCCATAACAAGGGATATATCATCATGCTCATGCATGTCATGACAACTACGTACTTTGTGTTTGTATTCTCTTTAATATATTGCATTTCTTGTCCATTAGGGTTATCTTTGCTTACACATTTCTGATGTTATAGATTGAGACAGCTCATATTCATATATATATTCACGAGATTAATTAGTTGACTTAAAAAAGGTCTAAGCCAATCAAAACGAGCCACATAGACATCTTCTTCCATTCTCCTGGATAGAGGATTTCCCAATTGATGGGAGAAGGCGAGGAAGGTGCAGTAACCAAAGCACAATATATACTGTGGGATTTTTCCATGGTCAAACTTAAGGCTAAAGATATATAGAAATTGACTTCAAGTGGAAGAAGAAGAAGAAAAGGAACGGCCGTGGAAGGTACAGTTTTACTATTAGATTGGTAGTTGTGGGCTGCCGCACCGCACGCCTTCCCCACTTGGTTTACAACTTCCCGCGGTGGCTGCCTGGTTTGCAGAACCGTGTGTCTTAAGGTATTGCATGACGTCGGGTTACTATTTAATTTTCTGAGAATATTCCCCCCTTCTACATGTGAAGAAGAAAAGCTCAAATGTAAGTCTCTTTCAACAAACGGCAGGTTAACTTATACATCAAGCCAAGGAGAAGGGTATTAGATGACGACATATATATGAGATCCTCGTGTTGCAAAGATTAGATAGTTAAACGTGTGCACATGTATTAATAGAATCACAACAACAAAAAGTAAGGGACACAAGAGTTACATACCGTGGATAATAGAAAGATGTAAATTAATAAGAATTGATATTCCGAAAAATCATATGAGTTTTATGGATTTGTGGTTTTTTTTGACGTCTAATGAATGGAGTTGCATCTTGGGAATTACTCGTGCTTTGGGTTGATATGCTTATGGGTACAATATGGTATCGGTTTTCTTTCGATGAAATTCATCAATTGACATGAGATGTAAATCTGGGCAGAAAACCTTATGGTGTGACAAATGTGCTCATGAATACCCATACTCAAAATAAACCTGCTTCGCAGGGTAGGAGATACGCAACACTACTACTATATTTTTGTCCTTAAACAAATAACATTACTCATGCATACTTGACCAGTTGTTGATTCTTAGTTCAAGATTTCATTTGAAGGCATGTTGCACTCTTTCCAAACTCACGATCGAGTACAAATTAACTAACAACAAGATGGTGTCGAAAGGCAACCATGTCCATCCACCATTCCAAACTCACCGAGCACAAACAATAAGAGAACATATTTGTAGTCCACAGTAGGCAAATATTCCATGTCTAAGGAAGTCCAATGAAGAGAAAAGGAGGTGCAAATGTGTTTCAACAATACGAAAACAATCAATAAGCTAAAGAACTCTAATGGAGAGGAGGAGTTGAGAAAGGAAGTGCAACCGTGATCAATACGCTGAAGACTATGGACGGGAGAAGCCAAGGGAAGTGTTGTTTAAGCAAAAATAAATTTGTTGGTTGTGGGGTTTGAACACAGACATTTATGTGGAGAAGATCTTAAGAAGTCCAATGAAGAGAAAAGGGGGTGCAAATGTGTTCCAACAATAGAAAAACACTCAATAAGCTAAAGAACTCTAATGGAGAGGATGAAAAGTTGAGAAAGAAAGCGCAACAGTGATAAATAATAAGCAAACACTCAATACGCTAAAGAACTCTAACGGAGAGTTGCAAGAGTAAAGACTATGGACGGAAGAAGCCAAGGAAATTGTTGTTAAAGCAAAAATAAAATTGCTGGCTATGGGGTTCGAACCCATGCGCACTTATGTGCAGAAGATCTTAAGTCTTCCCCCTTAACCTCTCGGGCAAACCAGCTAACATGTTCACTTTTTCGATATGTATGTAATGTACCACTATATCTATGTAACTACAGACTTGAGATCTGATTTGCTTTTTGGATGGGCTTTTAGGCCACTTAGGTATTGCATACCTTTTGATGAAATCTGATGGGCTGGCTTGAAAGGCCCATGACTCTAAGCCATGTATTACCATACAAAATCGTGTCTAGCGTGGATGTTGTTTTCTTTGTATGAATAACACGAGTTAGGATCCAACCCTCAACAAAAAAAGAGTTTGGGATGCAGCAATGTTGCCGCCCGGAGGAGAGCTGCCGGCAACAAGGGCCAGCTGATCTAAAGACGGAACCGACTAAATAAAAGTGGAGATTTGCGAAGATATAGTTGGGCAAATTGTTAAGCCTCACCGTTTTGGCTTCTGAACTTGAATGGAGCCTTATTAATTAGAGGCATTCAAAGAGTCCAAGTTTGGAAACATTGTGAACAAATAGTTTTAGGTACATCTAAATTTGTTAGATTAAGGTGAATAAATATTGTAAATAATTATAACTGCGCGTCGAGAATATGTTGCTACTTACATAAGGGAGAGTGTGCTAAGGTTTAGTATATAATAGTCATTAATGGGATAACATTTGCAAGACTTGTCCTTTATCTATATTCTCAACTTATTCTATATGATAATCTCTATCAAAATCAACATCTTGTGTGTTTGTTAACCTTTGTGGATGGAGTGAATTTCCCTAATTATTCTGGTGTATAACGTTTTTCTTGACACTGATCAAATCATGAACATGGACGACCTAAGATCCTTATGTACATTTTCAAGTACTTTGTCGTAGCAAGAAAATGAAAACCCGTAAAAGTTAAATGAAATATTCAAAGTTTACAAAGACCATGGAATGTAAGAAACTAAGAAAGCCTAAGATGTAACTAAAATGAAGAAAGGTTGTGAGCAATTACCACTAAAGGAAAGTGTAAGCTGCTATTTATAGGAGGACAAGGTAGCTAAGGTTCCGTATAGTCATTATTCTCCAACCCGCGTGCACATGATTTGTATTCCTAACTCTTTTTTTATGAGCATGAAATACTTCATTAAAGCGCAATGTAGAGGATTAACAAACACCATCTGTAATTCTAAAAAACTAAGCCTGCATACACGGCGACTTCATTTACAAGAAAATCTCTCACATTTTTTAATTTATTCTCTTACATTCTTTATCAAAATCGTTACCTCTTACATGTTTATGTAACTTTGTATTGACTGAGTTGGTTCCATTTGTAGCCTTTTTCCTTAACATTTATCAAATCATCCATTGGGACCTCTAAGATGCTGTTGTGGCTAGTACTTTGCCTCTCTAACGACTAGTCCCAAGACCCAAAGTGCAAAAGGCCAAGTTCGACGAAGGCGTGAATCTCACCGTCGAGTAATCCCCTACAGCAACGCCCACCATACGAAAAGTCCACGCCCGCTTCACAGTTCACAGCCAATCAGATATCCAGGAAATCTAAGGGCATTTGACTTTTATACAAACCAACCGTTTCCTGACATCTGGCGCTCCCACGAATATTGTGGCAGAAACGGTAATTAAACTCCCAACCTAGTGGCATTTCCGGATCAAGCTCTCGCCTCTCCTCTCCTTCGCTTGTTAAAACCTCTCTTTCCTCGCCACACGAAAAACCCTCTTTTTCCGCCTCCAGAGAGAGTTTCCTCTTTCTCTCGCCGCCACCCCAAAGACAAATGGCCGGGCTGAGCCGACTGGGATCCGCGGCGGCAGCAGCAGCTCCATCGTCGGCCCTCCGACGCCTCGGGTTCCTCACCGGCAGTCGAGCTTGCTACGGATCAGCGGCGGCGGCTGTGGAGTACCAGTACTCCGACGACGAGGAGGAATGCTGCAATTACTCTGGACAAGATGGTTCTCCGGCGCGACAGGGCATGCGGGCGGCTGCGGCAGGTTCGACGTTGGAGAGAGGTGTTCAATGGGTGTTGATCGGCGATCCCGGAGCGAAGAAAAGCCTCTACGCGGAGAAACTGTCGCAGGTCCTGGAAGTTCCTCACATTTCCATGGGCACCCTCCTTCGCCAGGAGCTCAGCCCTCGATCTGCTCTCTACAAACTGGTACATTTCCTTCTTGCTTTGAGTCCTGCGACTCCCTTGCCATGTCTGATGAATTATTCTGTGAATTGGACCAGATTGGTGTTTCCTTTGTCATAAAGTATGCGTGTGCTTAGTAGGTTTTTGTTCAATTTGGAAACTTGCTGAATGGAATTTGAAATTTCTGTTGGCCAATTTTAGATATCAAATGCTGTGAATGAAGGGAAGCTAGTGCCAGAGGAGGTCATATTTGGGTTGTTGTCAAAGAGGCTTGAAGAGGGATACTCCAAAGGTGAAAGTGGATTCATTTTGGATGGTATTCCCAAAACTAGAATGCAAGCTGTGAGTCTCTCAATCGCTTGGGTTTCCTTGCAATGTTTGGACTCTTTGCTTATGTTCCATATTTGGAGTTCCAATTTCTCGTCTCAATGTTCTGCAGGAGATTCTTGATCAAATTGCTGACATTGATCTAGTGGTAAACTTCAAATCAGCAGAGCAACAGCTGTTGAAAAGAAACTATGTCGGCTTAGGACATTCTCCGTCTGTGGGTGGATCGGATGAGAGTTCGTGGGGGGAGAAGTTCCGCTTGTATGCAGAAGAGGTAAACTTTAAATGCTCCGTAAACTTTAAATGGCTTTCTCCAGTTCGCGAGTGTTTGTTTTGAAATCTCTCTTCCTTCTGTTTCCTGTGTGTTTCAGGGCAAGGCAGTGGAAGATTACTACAGGGAGCAGAGGAAGCTTCTCGATTTCCAAGTCCCTGGTGGACCAGGGGAAACATGGCAAGGGTTGTTGGCTGCTTTGCATCTCAAGCAAGCAAATGCCGTTCTATCTTCTAAGAAGCTTGCTGCTTGATCTGTGTGTAGCTTCTCTACGTTTAGAGGTGCCCGGCTGACAATTCTAGTAAATATGTATACCGCAGAGAGATGCGAGAGTATTGTTTTGGCAGAGACTAACAATTGCCAGCTGAAATTTTGAAGCTTTATGTTCCATTCAGTAGGGTTTCTGTTACCATGATAATATGATATGTAGTTTGTGAGCTGGAGATGCAATTTTGAGGAGTTCGCATTGTTGCTTTTGTAAGGGCTTTTGAGTGGTTTTTGGCCAAAAGGACAATTGGCATCCGGGAAAAGTTATTATTAAATCAAAACAACCATATTGTTATGCTTTCTATCAATACAAGATCCTTCTGCTTTTCCTTTGTTCCTGTTGTTTGTGGCTGGTTTGTCTTTAACTTGAATAAGTTCTATGCCTTTTGCTGGCCTCAATATTTGGTTTCTGGACTGCACTGAAGTCTGACTCTGAACTGTGATCTAAAGGAAGGTCATAAAGTGGGTTTGGGTGATATGCCTTGGAATTCGGGTAGACATTGGTTCGGTTTGAAATCTATTTAGTGGTTAACCAACAGCAGCTAAGCAGAAACTCAGAGCGAAGCAATATGCAACTCTTAAGCCCATTATTCGAACACTGCAATGGCTATCCATGGCACTTCAGTAAATGTACAATGGGCTCTCAATTTGTACAAACACAGGTGAAGAAGAAGGCGAACCACCAAAATTTGTACAACAGTCATGATTTCCCCGTTCTTTATATACTACTGTGTGGTTGTTTACAAGATCAGACTACTAACTGTTCTTCCATATCTCCCTCAGAAGGTCGTACCTTACCGGGTTCTGTCCCTCCTTCAGTTTCCAGGCTGCAGGGGATGATGATGAACAAGACATCAGGTCGGGGAAGATTGAAGCCAGAGGCGATTTCAGCTCGTCGAGCTCATCGTCGCTAGTGTATGCTTTTCTCAGCACGGACGAACCACTTCTCCTGAGCTGGGATTGGTTTCCAAGCTCTCCAATTGTGGCAGCAACAGAAGCTGATGAAGATGGTAGATAGACTGGAGGAGCTGCAATGCATGGCACAGTCGTAACACAACCTTCTTCTGCCGGGGCATTGTCCTGCATCAAGTTCAAACATAAGACAAGATGGCCATTGCCAGTATTTGGGGGGTTGTTAAGCTGATGGATCATTGCAATGGGTAGATTGTCGAGAACAAATAGTTAGTACTGAACAGACTGTGGGAGGTGGATTGTGAAAATGAAGCAAATGTAAATGGAACTTACCTCGGACTCTAAGGCTTCAAGGACAATATTTGGTACAGGATCAGGGCAGAACTCATCCGAGACGAAACTATATAGAATCCTCTTGATTAATGGTGTCCCAAATGTAGGACACACCTTTACCATAAAGCAAAAGAAGTAAGTAAAGATAGTCGAGTGTAAAACAGGTATAGAATGGAAAGGTGTGAGATAACAGCCAAACCTCTTTCCTTATGGTTCTACTTAAGAGCAAGTCCTTTGGAAGCATCATAAGATCACTAAGAGCATTAAGCAGATAGAAAGACTTGAAGGAAGTGTCTTGTCTATCATCATCCTCATCTGGGTCATTGTTGTGGTCCTCACAAGGGTCAACATCATCATCGTCCAAGCCAAATAGGTCGGTGAGCCATCTCGACCAGTTTCCAATCTGCCACAAACATCATAAACTCAGATAACTGAAACTAACGAAATGAAAACGTCACTTTCAGATTCCATACCGCATTTTTTAGTTGTGCACCAGCTCCAAAGCTTGATATCCCAGCCGCGATTGGGAGAACCCTTGGATCGCTTATGGGATCAGACACTGGATCTGTTGGGATTTCGTCATCAGATTCGCGGAGTATTGCATTGAACATAGCCACATCCAATCTAGACACACATTGCTCCATCACCTATATATGTATAAAAGACAAGCATTAACACCTAAGAACTTCCAAAATGTTAAGCAAACTTTACAGCTTGGACAAGGGGCATTTTCTCTATGTACACCTGTCTTGCTAGCTCAGGCAAGCAACCACACTCATGCCCTCCTGCTCGAACTGGACAAAGCCTTTCACAGGCATCCTTGAATGCATTCTTCCAAAGCTCCAATGAAAAGTTCCCCTGCGCTTGATCGCATGAACTTGAGGATCGAGTAAGGTTTTTGTTGGAGTCTGAAGCACTCACTTTGTCAATCCCTTTGGTGGCTGCAGATTGCATGTGTGGAGTAAGAGTCTGAAACGCACAGGGCCATGGAAAAAGTCAACGTTAAGTAATATTGAAAAAAAGGAAGTAACAATGTTAACAAAGTAGCAGAAGGAAACGAGACCTGCCACCAAATGGATTCTACAGTTCTGGAAAAGATCCAAGCTTCAACTCTTTCAAGTGCTGATATGAAAGTGTGAGGGTCCTCCCAATCTTCAGTATCGTCAGATATTGAACTTCCCTTTCCCTTTCTGATAGAAGTCAATGATGATATCACTTCGTTTCGCTTTTCAGCACAATTCATTTCCGCTGACTCATACATTGCTTGGCTTATGATTGCTCTTAGTACAACCGAGTTTGACAACCAAAATGTCAATCTGCATTGGGCAATAAAGTATCCAAAACCAAGGTATCAAAGAACTATCCCTTATCAAACAAAGGTATCAAAGAACTATCGCATGCCTTGCTACACATATAGCATCTGATAGAGCTTCAACTACCATACCTGGGGACATCGTTGCCACATGACTTTGCCACTAGAACCATTCCTGAAACCGCACTTCGGGCTGCACTGGCTCTCCTGGCGACTCCAGAGGCATTAAGATACATTCTTGATAGGCGCCTAGCCGGAGCATGCACCTTACTGATGGAGCTTCCATGCTCAGCAACAACAGAGTAAAGTGCAGCCTCAATGGCAGCAGCTTCTCTCAGCTCTCCTTCGAGCACCTTGATCTTGTGCTCCAACTGCTGCATTTTGCCAGCTAACACAGTGGTGCTGGTGTCCTTCGGAGAGATCTTGGCACTTTTTCTTTCACTAATTCTCATGCTCCCAACACTGTTCTGATCATCTCCCAGCACATCAACTTGTTCAGTTTCGGGCAGACTTCTGCTAACACCTCCATTACTCCTACCTGAATCTGATGCAGACCTGACTGATCTCACGTTCTTCAGTCTATCTGGTTTCGTTAAGCTTCCTCTCATTCCAATATCTGCAGTCAAGGGAAATCCTTCATCCATGGTTTCAGTGCTTTGTTCACTTCCCTGGTTTTCTCTCTCATTCATGACTTCACTGCTTCGACTTTCAATTTCTACACCATCCACATATGCTGAACTTCCATGGTCAACACTGCTTCGACTTTCAACAGTCTCCTCTACTATTACATCCGTAGTGTGTGACGAAGAGGATTGAAGGCTCTGTTCATTCCTTGGATTAATGACTGAAGCGGAATCAAGAGACTTCGCCACAGAAGCATGACCGTTGATTGGGCTGCCTGGATCAGAAGATAAATCTACAGAAGATGATGAACGTGAAGAACTCCCCTTCAAACTTTCTTGTGAATTAATATTGTTTTCAAGCCTCAGTTTTGAAGCATTTGCATGCTCTTGCATGAGCACTCCATTACTATTTGTCACTCCATTTGGTTCATTCTGCAATTCAAATGCCAAGTTGTCAGCATCTCTGCTGTATATATATTTATAGCACAAACCCATTTACTATTTGTGACTCCTAGGGACATGTGGAATAACAGTGCCCCAAAAGTGGTCCTGACAAATGAAAGCATGATAACATCTCATTGCATTAAATACAATATATGTACTATGTCACATGATGCTAGCATGAATTATTGTGAGAACGGTAAGGTAATAATATAAGGTCCATTTCTGGGAATCTCCCAACAACTCGAGTCGTTGAAACAAGCTGGTTCTCTACTAACTGAATTGGTAATCCAAATGAAATAACTGTAGCTTACCACAAGATGCAAACATACACATCTTACATACTCCATTTATACATATGTACCTTTTCATGAGCAGGAACTCCGCTGTTGCTCATGGAAGAGTGAGATGACACGTCATCATCAGTGAAAGTAGAAAGCTCAGCTTCCTCGGCAAACTCTTCATTCATCAACCCCAACACCGAATCGCCACCATTCGTATCAAGCGATACACCTCTAGATAAGCCTCCACCCTGGACTTTAGATCCAGGATGGCCTTTACTAGCTGGCTGGATCTTAATGAACAAAACAGGCTGGGAACTGTTTGTAAAGCTCCGAGTGCTCTTCATTGGAGCACTAGCACTAGTTGTATTTTTTACCACGCCATAATCTGCCAGGTCTATTACAGCAGTAGCAAGCAACTGGGCCTTATTTTCCCTCCTAGGCTCACACAAGTTGAACTCTATCCGACTCTTCTTGAACACATCACCATCCTTGGCTTTTAGGTCCCTCGCCAAAGTGACTGGCAATCTAATGGACTCGTTGAATTCAATCTTCCCCTCGCCAACTACTGTCCCAATTGATGGGACTACAGCTTTGGTAGAGCCTGAATGGCGGTCACCATGTTCCCACTGAATTAGTACAGACCGGAGAGACCTCAGAGATTGAGATGGTGGCCATGGCTTGATATCTTCAATGTGGATTATGTAGTTCAACTGGACTGAAGCATTCTTCTTGTTCTTCACATTTACATGAACCATTGTATGGTCCCAAATGCTACTGCAATAGTTCAGTCACCAAAAACAACAATTAGAATGATAAAATGGTAAGTTAAAACAGAAAGGTGAAAATTGCAATTTCTCATTGTTAGGTTGGTGAATGGTGAGCATAACTAAGCTTGGAGCAACCACTTACCTTATTTGCCAAAAGCAACAATTAACAGCACAAAAGCAGTGTACTTTTCTAGCTATCACAACATTTTCCCAGCAACCAAACAACAAAAGCCCATTTCTAAGATCAAATTCAAACTCTTAACTTAAGAAGCAACAAATTCGAGCAACAGAAGCCTAAACTTCAAAATGCTAACAAAAAGGGGTGAAGCATCAATAAATTTCTTCACATCCAGGAAAGCAACCAATGTTACAGAGTAGTGATCAATCACGAGAATCACACATCCGAAACAGAAGACTGAAAGTAAGACGTTCAAGAGGGAAATGAGAAAAAGATTCCATATTTAGCCCATTAAACCCGGAAAAGGGAAAAGCTGAAGTTCATAGCTTTGAGACATTTTCGAAGCAGGGTTGCAGCCAGATCCAGCCAAAACCACCGGCACCGACAAATTCTTCCCAACAAACCACAAAGCTTGACCTTTGTCACCCAAAAACTCACAGAACCCCCTCGACAACGCAATGCAAGCCTCACAAAAACTTTTCCCACTCAACGAAACCAAAAATGAACCAAAACCCAGTAACGATAAGGAGGCAGTCGTACCAGTTAACCGCCGAGGCAGAGCACCGCCGGAGAGAAATGGAATGGCTGACGTTCTCTTGGTCAAGACGAGCGAGCAGTACTACCAATGAGAAACCTTTCTGTCAAGCATCCGAGTGAGGGATAGTTAAGAAGAGAAATGCAATGCCAGAAAAATGAAAAAGGTAAAAACAAGAAATCTAATAAAAGTGGAACCGACGATGTGGGGGAATGTATTCTTCTTGCCTGATTAATGTTTTGTCGACTAGCTGAGGGAGAGATTTGATTTAATGAAAATTGTTGCTAAAGGCCATTAGTTTCTCCCAAAGACTGGTTGTTCGTGGGAATGGGCAAGGGGGCGTTTTTGTTTAGTGTTAATGGTGATTATGAGTAGGCTACGACGACGTTTGGAAACCACGTAGGTGATAGCGACTGCTAATTATTTTTTTTTTTGGTAGAAAGACGGGCGAGACGCCCTAGTGCATAATATTAATAGAACGGGTCGTGGAAATTTCCATGACATCATACATCAACCAATGTTCGAGGTTAGGATCGTACACATCGAAACAATGTGTACCAAAAGGAAGGGAATGACCCTTGGATGCCAAAAAATCAGCAACAACATTTCTTTCCCTATACACATGGCTAATAACCACCTCCCAATCACGACACAGGAGGTTTCCAATCTTTCCAACCAGCAAACCATGTGAATGGTTGCTGTCCTTCCAATTCTTGATAATGCTGATGGCGGTGGTGGAGTCCAGATTAAGCTCGATCTTACGAAATCCAAGTTTCCAAGCCCTCTCTAAACCCACAGCAGCACCCTTCAACTCAGCACAAGTAATAGAACATTCACCAAGGTTGCACGCAAAAGCATCGAAACATCGTCCCAGGGAATCCCTGATCACGCCGCCTGCAGCCGCCAAACCAGAGGCCCCCAGAACCGAACCATCCGCCTGGACTTGGTACCATCCTTCTCTTGGAGGTTTCCAGGAAAGCTCTTTCTCCACCTGAACAGAGCTTGTCATCACCAGGCTCCTGATGATGTTTTCTTTTGCATGACGGTGTATATTGAGCCACGCATTAGCTTTGCAAATCAGACCCTCCTCCGAGTACTTTTTACCATCAAGAGCCTCCTCGTTTCTTTGTTTCCAGACAAGCCAACACAGGATGCCAAAATCAATTCCTGTGTCGACAGCCTTAGTGTTCCTATGGATCCATTGGCTGAAAGGAGTACCATTGCCCCTGTCTTTGATCTTGCAGTTGAAATGTCGCCAAAAGCCCTCCGTCTTCTTGCATTTCCTCAAGATGTGCTCCACTGTTTCTTCTTCGTCGGTACAGTGAGCGCAGCTCCCATTCTGTGTCATTTGCCGTTTCTTTCTTTCAGCGTTGGTGAGAAGTCTGTTGTGTGAGACAAGCCACAGGAAGAGTTTAACTCGGTTGGGGCCGTCCCATCTCCAGAGGTCTCTCCAGTGTTCCTCCGGCCTGTCTTCAGTCGAGCCCTCCACCAGCTCGTAAGCGGATCGAAGCCTGAACCTTCCATCTTTTTCCACTCCCCATACTGTTTTGTCCTCTCCAAGCTCCGGGTCTGGTGTCTCCAACCCTGCAATACGAATCAAAATCTCATTAGGCAGGAAGTTCTTAAGTCTATCCCAGTTCCACTCACCGTTCGTGTTAGTCCAATCCGCCACGCAAGAGAGCCTCTCCTCTTCGGACAAGGAAACGAGTGCAAAGTCCTCAAGGACAGTTTCCTGATCCAGCCATGGGTGTGTCCAGAATCCGGTCGACCTCCCATCCCTAATGCTCCATGCCATTCCTCTTCGCATCGTTGGCATTGCCTTCAAGATCGCTCTCCAAAGATTAGAGTGATTGCTGGTTTTCATAGCCGTGATTTTTCCATCCTTGTGGTGGAAGTATTTACCCTGCAACACCCTAACCCATAAATCTTTCTCATTATTCAGAACATGCCAAGCCAACTTAACCATGTAAGCAAGATTCAAGCTCTTAGCAGCTCGAAGGCCAAGGCCACCTTGATTTTTGGATTTACAGATTGTTTCCCAAGAAATCAAGTGGACTTTCCTTTTCCCCACTTGAGACCCCCACACAAACCACCTAATTTTCCTATCAATCGTGTCACACACAGAGGCAGGTAAAAGGGTGGTTTGCATAGCATACGAGGGAATGGCTTCAAGAACAGCCTTGGCGAGGGTGACTCGACCCGCAAGAGAGAGGGTACGAGCTTTCCAAGCCGTTAGTTTGCTGTCAATTTTATCCAAAATATACCTGTAGGTAAGTTTAGTCAGTCTACCATGGATAACAGGCACCCCAAGATACTTTCCAAGGTCATTAGTAGATTGAATACCAAGCCTAGAGCAAATATTAGTCCTAGCATGCATCTTAGTGTTCTTAGAGAAGAAAACACGAGACTTATCCTTACTAACAAGCTCTCCTGAGGCAACACAAAAATCATTCAGGCAGGACAAGATGCAGTCAGCTTGTTCAACGCTAGCCTCGGTAAACAAAACCAAGTCGTCAGCGAAGAACAAATGAGACAGAGGAGGCCCACCAACAGACAACACAACAGGCTTCCATTTTTTATCCCTAACTTTCCTATCAATGATATGGCTTAATCTCTCAACGCAAAGGGTAAAAAGGTAAGGGGAGAGAGGACATCCCTGCCGGATTCCCCTGGTTGGGGAGAAAGGATCGGTCTCTCCTCCGTTCCAAAGGACCTGCATCTCCACCGAGGTCACGCATTGCATGATGATGTTGACACATTGTGGGGGGATACCAGCCAGCATCAAGGTTTCTTCGAGGAAGGCCCAATCAATACGATCATATGCTTTCGCTAGATCCACCTTCAGGAGCATGGTACCCTTCTTTCCACCTTTACGAGCCATCGAGTGGACTGTTTCCTGCAAAATCAGAATATTATCAGTGATATGCCTATTGGGAACGAAACTGGATTGGTTAGGTTGAACCAAAAGGGGCATAAGAGATTTAAGTCTATTTGCAATCGTTTTAGCTACCACTTTGTACCCCACATTGCACAAGCTAATGGGACGAAACTGACTCATGGATGCAGGAGCAGCAACTTTAGGGATGAGAGCAAGCAGAGTTTGGTTCAGGGATCTAATCACGCTAGGGTTACTAAAGCAGCTAGAGATAAAGAAGAAAAACTCCCTTCCAACGACGTCCCAACACTTCTGAAAGAAGATAGCGTGGAAGCCGTCCTTCCCTGGCGCTTTGAGACCCTTCATATCCATGAGGATTGCTCTGACTTCCTCAAAGGATGGGGGTGCTCCAAGCCTCTCGGTCAACGATGGTGCCAGCTCTGGAAAATCAGCAGGAAGATTGGGATGGTGCTCCTTGTCTTCCTTGGTATACAGCTTCACAAAGAACATTCTTGCCATCAGAAGGATAGAGTCAGGATCAGAGATCCAGTTCCCCGAATCATCCTTAAGGCAAGAAATCGCATTCCTTTTCCTTCTGCTCAAGGTACTCTGGTGGAAAAATCGGGTGTTCTTATCGCCGTGGACAATCCAGTTTGCTCTGGATTTTTGCAGCCAAAGAATCTCCTCTTGCCAAAGCGTCTCCTCCAGCTCTTCTCTGGTATGCTTCTCTTTCTCCAGGGAGTGAGGAGTGGCCGATCGTTCGTTGAGGATCTCCAAACTTTGGAGTTTCTTCATCAAGTACTTCTTCCTGCGGAAAATGTTGCCAAAAATTTCCTTATTCCACCAGGCGAGCTTTTCGGAGAGAACCTGCAAGGAGGAAGGGAAATCAGAGCCAAGATTCCACGAAGAAGAGAGAAAACTAGGAAAATCATCATGCGCAAGCCATGGAGCAAGAAATTGGAAACGTCTCACCGGTTTATGGCTTGGAGGGATACTTGTTGTGCACGTCAAGATAGGCCTATGGTCGGACTTAAGCTTCGGCAGGTGGAAGACGGTTGTTCCAGGGAACTTTTGCCTCCACTCCAAGTTGCAGAAACTACGATCCAGTCGCTCCTTCAGTCCTGATGACTTGGTGAACCAAGTGAATTTTGGACCCGAGAATCCAAGGTCCACCAGGCCACAGTCATCAATACAATCCGTGAAGGGTCTCGCTCTTGCAAAGTTAAAGGGAGCCCCTCCCTGCTTATCCTCAGGGCTAGACATGGCGTTGAAATCCCCTGATAAGAGCCAAGGACCATCAACCGACTTCTCAATCCTTCTAAGACCGTCCCATAATGATCCCCTTTCGAAATCATTAGGGCTCGCATAGATTGCAGTAAGAAAACCAACCTCCTTCCCCGCACTAAACCATTTCAAATGGATAAACTGTTTTTCCTTGTCAATGACCTCCATATGCATATGACTACTGTCCCACAAAACCCAGATGCCCCCACTGAAACCCACTGCATCAGAAACAACCATCGAGTCAAAACCAATGCTTTTAATGATGTCCAGGGCATCATTACCACTGACCCTCGGTTCAAGAATACAGATCACATCAGGCCTGTATGATGATCTATAAAAATCTAAGGTTGAACGAAATTTGGGGTGCTTTGCACCCCTGCAATTCCAGGCGAGGACTTTAATCATCAAAAAATGAGAAAAGTAGCTCTCCCACTTTGATCCCTGTGGAGATCAGCAGTCGTCAACAGCCATAGCTGTCGCATTCTCTCCCGGATCGCTGCAAGCAGTCATAGTGCATAGATCCTTCACATTTTCAAGCTTGGCACAAGCCACATTTTTCTTAGGACTGGCTACATTCTTTTTCTGGGCACTTCTTCCTGAATCAGAAGTGGGGTGTGGCTTATCTGGAGCTTTCACAAGCTTACAGTTAATCTCAGTCTTCATCTTAGGTTGATGGCCTGTGTTGGCACCATGTTCCTTAGTCTCTCCTCGTTCCTTCCCTTGCTGGCCATACTTTAGGATGGAATGGGGAGAGAGGTTTCCTTTAGGTTTCGGGTAACCCGGGGCCACTGCTCTAATCTCCTGAACACATCCCACCAGGAGCTTTGAGTTAGGTTCCTGCAAGCTCTTATGGGAGGCGGGCACATCCTTCTTTTTCGAGTTCTGGGTAAGGGGGGAGCATTTTTGATTCTCTTTCTTAAGGTTGTTTCCATTCTGTGCTTTCTTTCCCTGATTTTCCTCTCTTGCTTTACCCACATGGCCATCCTTCAAAGGTGGAATAGGCTTCTCCACGTTCATCCCTTGAGAGCTGTTCATTTGATCCGGCTTAGAAGCTTT